GATGATATTTCCTGCTTTCCTTTATTTACTTTTGACTTTGGGAAGTATTTGTTGAGGAACTTGTCAACCACATCCTCCCATGCCGTGAAGCTATTCTCAGGAAAAGAATTCAACCACACCTTGGCGTTGCCTCCCAATGAGAATGGAAACAGGCTGAGCCTTATAGCTTCATCAGGTACATCATGAATCTTCACAGTATTACAAATATCAAGGAAGGTGGCCAAATGATTGTATGGATTCTCATGAGACAGGCCATGGAATTGATTATTTTGCACCAAATGGATGAGAGCAGGCTTCATCTCCATGTTGGCGGCATTAACCCTTGGCCTAGCAATGCTGTTGAAGTGAAGAGGCCTTGAGAATGTAGAATAATCCTCCAAGGTGCGTTTAGCTTGGCCATCACCATGACCATTTGGATTGGTGGCCATATCTTCTCCTTCTTGATTAAGAATAGGAATGAATGGTTGCTCCGGAATCTCAAGAATTGGAGAAGTTTCTCTAGAAGTACTGTTCTGCCTTCTCCTTCTACTATTGTTTCTTCGAGCTGTCTTCTAAACTTCAGGATCTTAAAGGAGAGGTTCAGAGGATCTTGTGCTCCTAGTACGAATTGTGCCCTGCATACACTAAAGACAACAGTACTAGAGCACCAAGTTAGCCAAAAATAAAAGAAAACAAAAATTATTCACAGTAGAAAGAATATAAGAATAAAGCCTAAGTTGGTTAGAAACACACAAAAGTATAGTATTAACACCGAGTCCCCGGCAACGGCGCCAAAAGCTTGTTGAGACTTTGGCAAGTGTACCAAATCGTTTCAAGTAATAAAACCGGTAAGACCGGATATCGTTTCCCAAGAGACTCGTGTCACCAAACAATCGTATAATTTCCAACTAACTTAGACTAAAGAATGCTTCATAATTTGTGTTTTTGTGCAATTAAAGTAAACATGAAACATAATTGATGAAAGTGATCTTAGATACTCAAACACTTGGAAATGGAAAGATTAGAAATGATATGGAATGGTATTGTTGGGGGTATGATTTCACCTACTTCACTCTTATGTATAGAAAATCACTTCCTCTTCATTAATATGCCAATGTCAATCTACTAAATTACTCAAACCCAATCCCTTGGTAGAGAGAGCCTAGACTTCCTTATTAGGCTCCAATCCCTTGGAAGACCTAACAATTATTTCCGCATTAAGAATTGAGATCTAAGACAACCAAATGTCCTAATTCTATCCCTAGATACTATTTCCATTAGGTGTTTAATCCAAGTCCAGATTTACCCAACATTTCCCAATATCAAGCAAACCCTAAAATCATGTCATGGATAGCAACTTCACAACAGGCATTAAGAGAAGGAATTAAACACTAACAATCAATGAAAGAGGCATATATTCATTCAAAACACAATAGTTTACATAAGAGTTTAGTGGCTACATCAATCCCCCAACAATAATGAAACTAACTCTCCATGAATGGAGAGCTCAAGCTTACAACAATGGTGGAAATGGAAGAAGGAAGAAGACCCAAGGGTGAAGAAGGACTGTTCCCACAGCTCCTAGCTCGCCTCCAAGAGCTCCAAATGAGAGAAATCGTGTTTGGGCAACCAAAGATCCAAACCCCTTCGCGTTTTAGGGATAAATAAGCTAGATCTGACACATCAGCAAAAGTCGCGCCCGACACCCTCTAAGTCGCGCCCGGGCGCGAACCTCTCTGGGAAAGTCGCGCCCAGCGCCCTCTCTTTCGCGCCCAGGCGCGAACCTCTCTGGAAAACTCGCGCCCGGCGCCCTCTCTGTCGCGCCCGGGCGCCGGGCGTGGACCATCTGGAAAAGTCGCGCCTCCTCTCTATGGGCGAGCATCCACTGATCGCTGGACGAGCGTCCACTTCTCGCTGGCCGAGCGTCCACTCTGGACGAGCGTCCTCTTCTCGCTGGCCGAGCGTCCACTGAGCGTCCTCTCTGGACGAGCGTCCTCTTCTCGCTGGCGAGCATCCACTGAGTGTCCTCGCTGGACGAGCGTCCACTTCTCCTGGGCGAGCGTCCTCTTCTCGCTGGGCGAGCGTCCTCTCGTGCGTCCTCGCTGGACGAGCGTCCACTTCTCCTGAGCGAGCGTCCTCTCGTGCGTGCACACTGGACGAGCGTCCACTTCTCTCTGAGCAAGCGTCCTCTCGTGCGTCCACTCTGGGCGAGCGTTCGTTCGCTGGGCGACGAGCGTTTCTGCATATGTGCTTGCTTCTTGTGGTTGGTTCAACTCTATACATGGTTGGAGACTCTTCCAAGCTCATTATTAGCTACAAAATAAGGGATTATCGATGAAAGTACATCAAAGTAGCCCAAAACACAATTATTTAGAAAACAAGACAAAAGAAGAGGATTAAACAAGTTATAAGTTAGAAAGGAGTTGATTTTGCTACTAAATTGATGCTTAAATAATGGTAAGAATTAGCATTATCAAATACCCCCAAACTTACAACTTTGCTTGTCCTCAAGCAGAAGTACTTCACCTAGCAAATAATTCAATCACAATGGTCTAGCAACTTTAAGCACACTTTCAATCAAATAAACAAAATCAATCATGCTTGCTCAACTTAGAAATTCAACAGATTATATGGCTTTAGCAAGCTAAACTTTAACCATGGTGCTCACAAATTAAAAGTCACAAGATAGATGCAAATGATAGATCAACAAAAATGGCAAGTTGTTTTCAATGCGTGCATGGAACCAATCCTCACCAAAGAAAGTGTTTCACTCAAGCACAATGGTGTATAAGGATGTGTGTCTTACTCTCAACTATTACAGTGTTACACAAATCAACTTTGCCTTTCGTTTCAACAATATCAAACACATTAACAAGCAAGTTATATCACAAGGACTTTTTGAAGCTTGTATTGTGGCTGGGCTAAGAAGAAAAATTGGTTTTTCTGGACAACAAAACACCTTGAGATAAGAGACCAAACAATTTAATTCATGATGTAGCATAGTCTCTTTTGCTCCAAAATTGAATAACCCACTTCTTAACCTATTTCCCAACTCTTTTTCATTGAATTCATGTTTTTGTTTTTCTTCTTCTTTCTTCTTTTTCTTTCTTTCTAACTCAACTTATTGTTTTCTCAATGTTCCCTTTTGATAATAAGAACTCCCTCAAACTTAAACCATGCTCCTCATCCTAACATATATGTTCATCTCAACTCAAGGTAAGGAGGTTAAGGATTTTCCAATAAGCGTAAGGTTTTAGGAATGAGAAAGTTTTATTTTTAAGGTTCATAGGTTTAGCATTGGATTTTAGGCTCAAAAATGTAGAAGAGGTTGAAAAACAAGATGGCCTTGATCATTTGTAAAATGCAAGTAACTAGTTCAAATAGAGAAACTTAGGCAAAGTCAACTATGATTCCAAAGTAATAACATTCATCAATAAACTCTGAGGCACAACATCTCACAGGTTTACTCAAGGTTCCAAAATTTGATAAACATCATGCCAAGAATATTGATCACAATTAAAACCAAGCATCTATCTAAACAGATACAAGCAACCATAATTTTTGTCCAACAAGCTCAACCACAATCTCAATCAGATTTTCAAAACAATTCTCATGGATAAAGAGCAAGCACAAGAGATTTGCATTCAATTCAAGCTTAACATATGATTCACTCAAATCACCAGACCAATTGCGCAAGAACTATCCACTAGGCAAGTCAAAAAGGAATCAAAAACACAAATACTGAAAGTAAATAAGAACTAGAAATTAAACTGAAAAACCGATCAAAATGGACTCTTTGCAGCTCCAGCAGTGTAGAACACTAGCTTCACTTTTCATATGTAACATCTTCCTCCTTCAGTAGCTTATACTCCGCAACTGCTCCACCTCCCCCATCAGTAGGGGCCTGGCCCCCAGGCCATGCTAAACTCTTTAATTCCTAAGGAAGATCTTATCCTGTAACAAGAAAGCTCAAAATAAAATTAGTATCCCATAGTCAACAACTGAAGAGAAGAATCCATAAAACATACTAAAAGAAATATGCAAAAGAGAGCAAAGAACAAAACAATGAAAGCCAAAACAAACAAAGACAAGAGTACATGAACATAGAGGGAAGTCTTAGAATTAAACTTCCCAAAGGTAAAACAATACAAAAAGATTTTAAAACACATCAAACGGAGTGTGTGAAAGAGCGCAAAAGAATGGGAAACTCATCATCAATCAAGAAAAACACATGTGCAGAACCAATATTGTTGCGCCGGGCGCCCCTGGTGCAGGGGGCGCCGGGCGCCACTCAGTCAATTAGGTGCAGGAGGGCCACTGGTCAGCTCGCGCCGGGCGCCCCTCAGTAGAGGGCGTCGGGCGCCATATCAGTTTTCTGCATAATGCAGATTTCTACGAAATTGGCCACTCACCATGTGATTTTTTGTTCCAGACCTTCATTCAATGCACTCACACACCAAACAAGCAAAAACTAACCTAATACACTTATACAAACCATAAAAACAACATCACAACTCAAAAATCACCAAAAATGCAAAACTACACAAACATGCAAAACATAAGCTACTAATGCAAATAACACAAAAATCACACAAACACTAGTAAAAAGGATAAGAAAACTGGGTTGCCTCCCAAAAGCGCTTGTTTAACGTCAGTAGCTTGACAAATGAGCATTTAAGTTTGGTTTTTGATGTTGGTGTGCTTGTTCTTTCATGACACCAACATGTTCTAAGCAGCTTTCTTGTCACCAACTTGACTCTTCTTGAATATGGAGCCTCGATTTCGAGAACTCCATTTGCTTTGATAGCCTTGATAACCCAGACCCTGCTCTTAAGCTTAACTGGTTTGCCAGGTTTTGGTTCATCACTTTCCACAATAGAGCCTTGGTGGACTATTTCATCTTCCCTATCTTCTTCCTCTTCCTTCACTTTTGAGTGGAAACACTTAAGGCTTTTCTTGACCAACTTGGCACCTTGCCCTATAGTCACTAATAAAAGTTCATCTGTGGCTTTAAGACTAGCCTATTTTTCTCGACTTTGTTGCTCAGCTTCGAAGACATTGAACGTTATCTCTCTATCTTGGTCCTTTAATTTCAATATTCCCTCTTCCATATGAATGACAACCTTAGCTGTCTTCATGAAAGGTCTTCCAAGAATGAGTGGTATCTCTACATCTTCCTCCATGTCCATCACTACAAAGTCCACCGGGAATTGGAGCTTATCAATTTTTATTATCACATCTTCAACTACACCAAATGGATATTTGATAGATCTATCTGCCAACTGAAGCATCATTCTTGTTGGCTTGGCTTCAAGACCACCAATCTTTTTAAGCATAGAGAGAGGCATCAGGTTGATGCTAGCCCCTAAATCAATAAGAGCCTTCCCTATATCATGGTCTCCAATGGTGCATGGAATGGTGAAACTCCCCGGATCTTTAAATTTTGGAGGGAGAGTCTTCTGCATGATGGCACTACAATTTCCCTGCACTTCAATTGTTTTCTCATCTAAATACTTCTTCTTCTTGCTCAGGATTTGCTTCATGTACTTTGCATAGGCAGGAATTTGTTGCAATGCTTCAGTAAAGGGTATGGTGATCTCAAGCTGGTTGAAGATATCCATAAACCGCCCGAATTGCTTCTCCTTCTCCTTTATCGAGTGGATTTTTGGATAAGGAAGTGGCTTCTCGAGTTCCTTTCCTTGTCTTCTCTCATCTTCCTCTTCTTTCTTTTTCTCTCCTCTAACATTCTCCTTTTCTTCTCTCTCATCTTCTTTCAAATTATTTTTCTCTCCACTCACTTGTTCTATCTCATAATCTTTCTTTGCTTTTTTTCTCCCTCCCTCTCTCAGCTAGTACCTTTCCACTTCTAGTACTGATAACCTTACATTCTTCCTTCGGATTAGTTTCAGTATTGGCTCCAAAACTCTTATCAGACTTTTCCTCTAGCTTCTTGGCCAGTTGGCCAACTTGTATCTCCAAATTCCTGATGGAAGCTTCCGTGCTTTTATGGTTGGAGATGGACACTTGTATAAACTGCTGAAGAGTGTCCTCTAACTTTGAGGTCCTGTTAGATAAGGAGGGATGTGGTTGATATTATTGTTGAGGTGGTCTGTTTGATGGCCCAGCTTGTCCTTGGCCCATGCTTGGGTAAGGTCTCCATCCTTGGTTGTAGTTACCTTGGTGGTCTTGATTACCCATATAATTCACCTCTTGGAAATTGGCTTGCATGACACACTGACCATTTACATGATCTCCACCACATAGCTCACATCCTTGATGTTGAGCTTGAGAAACATTATGGAGCTCTTTAGGAAGTTGAGAGAGCTTATTCATGAGAGCTTCGAGTTGTTGGGTCATTATTTTGTTTTGAGCTAACAAGGCGTCTTGAGATTGTAGTTGAAAAACACCTTTTTGTTGAGCCCTTTCATTCTGCAATTCACTGTCATTTGCAGCCATGTTTTCTATTAGCTCATGGGCTTCTTCTGGTGTCTTCCATCGAATATTTCCTCCAGCTGAGGCATCCAACATCAATTTGGTTTGGGATCTCAATCCTCCCAAAAACATAGTCAGGACGGTAGGCTCATCAAACCCATGAGTGGGCGTCTTTCGTAGTAAGCCCTTGAACCTATCCCATGCTTGACTCAAAGTTTCACTATCATCTTGCTGAAAAGATGATATTTCCTGCTTTCCTTTATTTACTTTTGACTGTGGGAAGTATTTGTTGAGGAACTTGGCAACCACATCCTCCCATGCCGTGAAGCTATTCTCAGGAAAAGAATTCAACCACACCTTGGCGTTGCCTCCCAATGAGAATGGAAACAGGCTGAGCCTTATAGCTTCATCAGGTACATCATGAATCTTCACAGTATTACAAATATCAAGGAAGGTGGCCAAATGATTGTATGGATTCTCATGAGACAGGCCATGGAATTGATTATTTTGCACCAAATGGATGAGAGCAGGCTTCATCTCCATGTTGGCGGCATTAACCCTTGGCCTAGCAATGCTGTTGAAGTGAAGAGGCCTTGAGAATGTAGAATAATCCTCCAAGGTGCGTTTAGCTTGGCCATCACCATGACCATTTGGATTGGTGGCCATATCTTCTCCTTCTTGATTAAGAATAGGAATGAATGGTTGCTCCGGAATCTCAAGAATTGGAGAAGTTTCTCTAGAAGTACTGTTCTGCCTTCTCCTTCTACTATTGTTTCTTCGAGCTGTCTTCTAAACTTCAGGATCTTAAAGGAGAGGTTCAGAGGATCTTGTGCTCCTAGTACGAATTGTGCCCTGCATACACTAAAGACAACAGTACTAGAGCACCAAGTTAGCCAAAAATAAAAGAAAACAAAAATTATTCACAGTAGAAAGAATATAAGAATAAAGCCTAAGTTGGTTAGAAACACACAAAAGTATAGTATTAACACCGAGTCCCCGGCAACGGCGCCAAAAGCTTGTTGAGACTTTGGCAAGTGTACCAAATCGTTTCAAGTAATAAAACCGGTAAGACCGGATATCGTTTCCCAAGAGACTCGTGTCACCAAACAATCGTATAATTTCCAACTAACTTAGACTAAAGAATGCTTCATAATTTGTGTTTTTGTGCAATTAAAGTAAACATGAAACATAATTGATGAAAGTGATCTTAGATACTCAAACACTTGGAAATGGAAAGATTAGAAATGATATGGAATGGTATTGTTGGGGGTATGATTTCACCTACTTCACTCTTATGTATAGAAAATCACTTCCTCTTCATTAATATGCCAATGTCAATCTACTAAATTACTCAAACCCAATCCCTTGGTAGAGAGAGCCTAGACTTCCTTATTAGGCTCCAATCCCTTGGAAGACCTAACAATTATTTCCGCATTAAGAATTGAGATCTAAGACAACCAAATGTCCTAATTCTATCCCTAGATACTATTTCCATTAGGTGTTTAATCCAAGTCCAGATTTACCCAACATTTCCCAATATCAAGCAAACCCTAAAATCATGTCATGGATAGCAACTTCACAACAGGCATTAAGAGAAGGAATTAAACACTAACAATCAATGAAAGAGGCATATATTCATTCAAAACACAATAGTTTACATAAGAGTTTAGTGGCTACATCAATCCCCCAACAATAATGAAACTAACTCTCCATGAATGGAGAGCTCAAGCTTACAACAATGGTGGAAATGGAAGAAGGAAGAAGACCCAAGGGTGAAGAAGGACTGTTCCCACAGCTCCTAGCTCGCCTCCAAGAGCTCCAAATGAGAGAAATCGTGTTTGGGCAACCAAAGATCCAAACCCCTTCGCGTTTTAGGGATAAATAAGCTCGATCTGACACATCAGCAAAAGTCGCGCCCGGGCGCGAACCTCTCTGGGAAAGTCGCGCCCGGCGCCCTCTCTGTCACGCCCAGGCGCGAACCTCTCTGGAAAACTCGCGCCCGGCGCCCTCTCTGTCGCGCCCGAGCGTGGACCATCTGGAAAAGTCGCGCCTCCTCTCTATGGGCGAGCGTCCACTGATCGCTGGACGAGCGTCCACTTCTCGCTGGCCGAGCGTCCACTCTGGACGAGCGTCCTCTTCTCGCTGGCCGAGCGTCCACTGAGCGTCCTCTCTGGACGAGCGTCCTCTTCTCGTTGGCGAGCGTCCACTGAGCGTCCTCGCTGGACGAGCGTCCACTTCTCCTGGGCGAGCGTCCTCTTCTCGCTGGGCGAGCGTCCTCTCGTGCGTCCTCGTTGGACGAGCGTCCACTTCTCCTGAGCGAGCGTCCTCTCGTGCGTGCACACTGGACGAGCGTCCACTTCTCTCTGAGCTAGCGTCCTCTCGTGCGTCCATTCTGGGCGAGCGTTCGTTCGTTGGGCGACGAGCGTTTCTGCATATGTGCTTGCTTCTTGTGGTTGGTTCAACTCTATACATGGTTGGAGACTCTTCCAAGCTCATTATTAGCTACAAAATAAGGGATTATCGATGAAAGTACATCAAAGTAGCCCTAAACACAATTATTTAGAAAACAAGACAAAAGAAGAGGATTTAACAAGTTATAAGTTAGAAAGGAGTTGATTTTGCTACTAAATTGATGCTTAAATAATGGTAAGAATTAGCATTATCAGAGAAGCTAGTGTTTTCTTTTAATTTGAGTTACAATGTATGCTTTAGTATTTAATATTATGTGAGTGGAATGTATTTTAGTCTTTGCTTGAATTAGGTGTTTCGTTGAAGTATGCATGTTTGATTTAGTATAAATTTAGTTGTATGAATCTGCTTAAATGTTTTAAAATGTGATGAATCTTTTTGGAATTAACCATGATGTTGAATTTTGGGTGGTTGAGAAGTTAGTGATTGTACTTTGACTGAAGTTTTGGAAAAAGATGGTTAAGTATGGTTGTAGGTCAGTTTTAGTCTAAATTGGGGGAGTTGATAGATGAGTTTGAGAAATAGTGGTCTAGATGAGGATATTGTAAGTTAGTAATTGTTGTGTGACTATTTGAGACTTGGGAGTATGATGAATTATCAAAGAATTGGTCTAGAAGTATGTAATAGACACTAGGTGGTGTATTGATATGAATTTTGGTGTATTACCAATTCTAACTTTTTTTTTCAACTTCTAACCATCCTAATTCATGTTATACACCTAATTAGATTTGACTAATTGATTTTAAACCTTCCTACCGTCAATCTAAGGCATTTTATACACAATTTATACTCCAAATCATCAAATTTATCAACTTAGAGACTCAAATCTCATTCTACCACTTTTGGCACTACTTTCAGCCACTTAAGTACTGAAGCAAGTCCTAATTGACTTATCTAACCTATTCTAACTTACCAATACAACCTATAACTTCTAATTCACAATTTCACTACCCCACTTCCTCAAAACTTACCTAAAACCGGTATACTTCATTCAAATTTCTCATAAGTCAATCTCACAATAGATTTTAACATTTCATCTAGTCTATAATATCAGAATCATCATCCAATTCATTTCATATTCATAGTTTCTTCACACACACTTACAACAGCCACAGTAAACACATTCATTCTAAAATCAAAGTCAACAATTCAGCTCATTATATATAACTAACATACTCTTCACACATGCACAATATAGTTAAATAAACAGAGATAAAATCCAACTTCCCTTACCTCAAAGAAATACTACCCAACTCTAGAAAATCCCAACTTGAAACTTGTGTCTCAAGGAAACTCTACAGAAACCTACAACTCACCGATTGGTGATAAGAAATCAACTTTAATTGAGCTAGAAATTGAAGAGAAAACAACCAGATACATGCAAACAGGAATTGTTGCATTATCACTGTCTAAGAATGTACGTAAAAAGAGTTGAAACAACTTACCGGTTCAAAATAGGATATTGATCGGTAGAGATGGTAGCCCTCGACGCCAGGATCGTCTAGGTACTCCCTGATCATCGAACAGATACCCCGAGAGTGAGAAAAGGTAGAGAGAAGTGAGAGAAAGAGAAGAAAACAATGTTTTAGAAAGATAAAAATATTTTAGATAATGAACCAAACTTTAAAAAGTTCTATTTATATTATAATGTTATTTTATAATAAAATACTCGATCTCATACTCTAATAGTCTATTTTCTAGCTTCTTATATCATTACTATTATATGTGACCTTGTATATGAAAAAAATATACGAAGAAAGAATAATTACGGTGTAGAAATGGAAAAAAAAAGTTATAAATGATTTTTTAACTAAAAAGTACTGAAACAAATTATTATCGTATATGGAATATAGAAGGTGCTTCGATAAGTATACAATAAAACAATAAAAAGATAAATATACAAGTAAACATAAATAATCAAGTAAACATAAATAAATTTTTCAACTTTAAATCATATTTATTACTTTTAAGAATAACTTTTTCTTTGCTGAATCACACACACAAATTTAAATTAATAAAAAAAAAATAAATGCATAAAATCATTAAAAAAAATCAATAAACCTAATTAATGATGATATAGTACGATAATTAGTAAATGGAACTAGTTTTTAAATAGCTCACATCATACATGTATTCATCCAAAAGAAAAAAAGTTCAGACTATTGTTATGCGATAGTTTTTGTATTCACAAATAAGGTTAAATTGATTTTTTTTTTTAAATAAAGATTATTTTGTCTTTTTAAACTTGAAACCAATCTAGCAAAAATTAAGAAAGAAAAGAAAAGAAAAAACTTCTTCCATTGAAGGACGTTGTCTAGGGTCATAATTTAGGCATTTCAGATTAAGTTTTGGTGGTTGAATATTGACCCTTTATACTACTATGATATCTGTAAGTGCTCCTAAATCATGATGCTACAATTATTCTCGCTAAATTCAATTCAATCATATTTTTTCCTTTTTTTAATATACTCCAAAGTTACGAGCTATTTACAAATAGAGAAATTTTCTTTCGGTAATCAATAAATGTGACTTAAAAGGAATTTTCATGTTCCTACTGATTAAACTCATAGAATACATAAGGTCTAATTTAGTTATATGAAATATATTTAAAATACATCTGAAGATTTTAAAAAATATGTCAAAATCCATTAATAGCAATTATTCGCTAAAAAATTTATTCGTGAATATATCCTGACACAAATATTTTTTACATTTCTAATAACAAGTGTGTATGTAATTCGGTTAAACATTAATATTTTTCTGAGCCATTCAAACTTGTATGATTAAACATAAATACAAACATTTAACATTTTCTAGAAACAATTTATCCAAGAGTTTAGTAACTTATTGATTCAATTAACTCATTAAAAATTCTAAACTACCAAAATTTTAATGTTCATATTACCAAATCCAAAGAAAAATAACAACCAAATAAAATATGTTTAAGTTTATATTTTGTTGAGTTATATGTTGTAAAGATATATATAATCGAATGAATTTCAACCACATGACTTGCCACAAAAGAAATTCAAAGTTTTAGGATCCATAACACAGATACATTTTCATCTAATGTCACACTCCCGTTAATTTAAATTAGTAAAATAAAATAAAACAAAAACATAAATTATCAAAACAATCATAAACCTAATTAATGGTGATATAGTAAAATAATTAATTTTAGTATAAAAATATGCTTAGTAAATGAAACTAGTTTCTAAATTGATCTGGTAGACATGTATTGACGCATGTATTCATCCAAAAGATCAAAAGTTCCACAATTGTTATGGAATAGTTTTTATATTCACAAATATGGTTAAATTGATTTAAGTTTAAAAAATATATCGAAGTTATTTAATTACAATTCTAAACATAGTGTGGTCAAAATGGGTTGAAACCCGTGAGCCAATCCGGCTCACCACGTGTTTGAGTCGGGTTGGGTTAGAAAAAAATGTAAAATTTTTTATGCGAGCCAATTTTGACCCGGCTCACTAAGAACCCGGCTCACACGAGTCGAACCCGTGGTGGGTTGGGTTGGGTTGGCTCACCAACCCACCTATTTTTTATAATTTAATTATCATTTGTTTGATCTTATTTTTAGACCTATCTACAAGCATGACAATTTTATCTTATGCTATATATTTTTATTAACGGCTATATGTAGTTTATTGGTCAAACAGTTGTGTATGTCTCATTAAATTTTAAATTGCTTGATAGCTTATATATAATCTGAGAAGAAGAGGGTGAAAAAAAGTTAATTAAGTGAGCCAATGAGTCAACCTGTTTAACCCACCAACCCGTGGTGGGTCGGGTCGGGTTCGAATTTTTTCAGCTCGCTAATAAATGAGCCGGGTTGGGTTGATTCACTAAGTGACCAACTCGTGGTGGGTCGGATCGAGTAGAGCCGGGTTACCCGTTTTAACAGCTCTATCTAAAGATATATCTAAACTTCTCTTACTCTTATAAATTAAATTTAGAAACAACTCATGACAATTTGTTTCACATGTAAAACTCTACATAAGATAACTAATGAATTATGAAAAATCTTTCTATTTGCCAGTTTAAATCTAATCCTTAGGTCATTTGATATTTTTCTAAATAAAGAATATTTTGTCTTTTAAACTCCAATCTAGAAAAAAATAAGAAAAAAAATTAAAATGTATGTTGGGTATCTTCAATGGTTATCTTCAATGGCTTCCAATCCCTCAAGAACTTCTTCCATTGAAGGACGTTGATGAGGATCACCCTCTAGGCATTTTAGAGCAAGTTGTGCTGCTTGTAACGCAGCTTTGGGTGAATATTGACCCTCTATCTTACCATCGATAATTGTTTTCAACTTTTTTTCGGAAGAGAGACAGGGCTTGCTCCATTTAACCAGGTTCTGCTGCCCCGTTGGCCTTCTTTTGTCAAGTGCCCTCATGCCTGTAAGTATTTCAAGAAGCACCACACCAAATCCATACACATCACACTTCACAGACAAGTGCCCTGTCAAATATTTATACAATCTAAACACATGTCAGTCGGTGGTGGCTCAAAGCATTAGACTTCATTATTCCATATTTTTAGTCTACCTTCCCTACTTCATCTTCCACAAAACATTCATTACTTACTATTACTACATTAAGGTCTGTTTGTTTAAAGGAAACTTTCTGGTTTCTTGTCTTTGACTTATTTTCACAAGACAATACCTTTTTTCCATGTTAAGTTTCTTTGAAATCAAGAAGTCAGGTGTCATTTAAGTAATTACTTGTGAATATGTGAAATTAAAACAAATAGTACTTCCTCATATCAAATAAACCAGATATAGTTACCCATTAAGGCATATTCTGGTGCAATGTAACCACGGGTGCCCATGGTCCTGGTAATTACATGTGAATCTTCCCCAGGAAGCTCTTTAGCAAACCCAAAGTCTGCTATTTTTGCATTGAATATCTGTAAGATAGAAAATAATGGTTATAAAAATTATATGAAGAATTTAGCATCAAATAAATATAATTTTCTTACTTCAGAAATATGATGCATGTTAGGTTACTCGCTCCATGTACTTGGCTCTTATACTTGACCAATTAGTTATGAACAAACCCGTGGTAAAACTAAGAATGGGATCTAAATTATAAAATCTGTGTTCATCTCAATAAGACACGACAAATGTTTTAGCTTCCATTTCTAAAAATAGTGGAAAAGATAGACTAATAAACAACGTAATAAAAGCAATTAACAAAAAGGTTACTAACATCATGTAGGAGTATATTTGAGGCCTTGAAATCTCTGTGTATAATTTGTTTTTCCGACATGTGCAGGAATGCAAGTCCACGAGCAGCACCAATAGCTATTTTAAGCCGGGTGTTCCAAGAAAGTGGTTCTATGTTAGGATTTCCTGCTCAGGAACAAGACAAAGCAAAATTGTTAAACTCAAATTCACTTTCTTTCACTATTTTATTAATGTTCAACTCATACTTCGAAAGAGATGATTCTCCAAGCTTCCCTTGGGCATGAACTCGTAGACAAGAAGAAGTTCATCCTCGTCCCAACAGTAGCCCAATAACTTGACGAGGTTGGGGTGGGAAAGCCTTCCCAAAAAATTCACTGCTGACTGCATTTTCAAATTAACAGAAAAACATTTAGATAATCAGAGAGCTAAAATGAATTTATCACAGGAAGGTACCCTGATTTGTTGATGCTTACACTATAATCTTAAATGCAATAGACAACTGAAATACCAACATGGTTGAATGAAAACATTTAGGAATGTCTTGTTAAGATTTAGCACTTCCTTTAGAAAAGAAAAAGTTGACTTAATTTTACCGTCCTTGTCTAGAAAAGTTTTCATTTTCTATAATGCATCTTTGCTCCAGATGCAGTTCAAGGCCCAATCACATAACGGATTAAGCTCAATCCAGACGCTGGATTACAGATCAACTGTCTAAGATTAAGAATTCTAAGACGAGATCCAAATACAATCATATTGCCCTTAAGAGATCTCAGACCCCATATATATTATTATTAAAGAATTCATTTCCTATGAACAACACCAGCATCATTTATTAGGTAATGTTACTCTAAGCACCTCCGGAGTGTATTTCAGATTCATTAGCATTGATCCTCGTCCCAACAGTACCCCAATAACCTGACCACGTTGGTGTGAGAAAGCCTTCCTAAAACGTTTATCTCAGACTCCATTTTTCAACCAACACAAAATCATGTTTAAATAGCCACTCAAGTTGTTCAAGACGCAGGATTTATGATTGGAGATTAAATACAATATAACAAGTAAAACTTCAACATGATAGAATGATAAGCACTTAGCCAGTTATGTTTTGTCAGGTCCTCTGGAACAGCACAAATTCATTTAACTTTACCAGCATTGTAATGAAAAGTTTGTATTCAATTGCTGACATGCATAACATGTTAGCAATTACTTTAATCTAAGGGTGGAAGTGTTTCAGTTCATTAAAAATTTAAAGTCAAAGTTTAAAAAATGTAATTCAAAGAGATCAAAATAATGCGACCTGCCACTGTCGAAACCCTTGAAAACCCTTCGGGTTTAACTTTTTGATGGCAACTACCACTCCAGAGCCTGGTTTGGCGGGAGTGAGGGTGTTCTTATCCAACCATCCCTTGTAAACTCTGCCAAATCCACCTTCACCGACCAATCTGTCGGAGCTGAAATTCCTTGTGACAGATTTCAGCTCATTAAAACTGAACACTTTCAACTCAGGCCATTTCAGAACTTGGCGAGCGGGAAAAGGAAGAGGACGAGTAGAGCAGTTGCTGCCGATGCTTTCTCTCACGGAAAACTGACTCCCTCTGATCGTGTTGGCTGTGGTGGTTTCGGAGAACTTGTGAATGTCTGATGAACCTGAAAACAGAGGAACCGAACCCCTCGTGTGAAAAATTTGAATTCGAGGAAAAAGGGAACGTTTGGCATAAATTTAGAAAGGAACGGAAAATTTGATAAATTGCCTGAAAAGTGGTGGCAGTTGAGTAAAGAGTGACGAAGTGAGTGAGCACAGGAGAAGAAGAGACCCATGTTATGGCAGTCTTAAACCTCTGTAATTGGTCGTCACTGAGTCAACCAGATTGCCCACTAAACTCAATTTTTGGATTGCCGGCACTTAAATTCGAAGCAGTTTATTTCTGTTGTATTGTTTTTAGATAATAACTTCGGTTTTATAGAATTATCGCATTAGCTTCAATGCAAATCAAGAATTGTCAAGTATAAGCAATCTTCTTCAAAAACATTAGTGAATCATATACCTTGATAAACACAGGTTATACCCGCAACAAAGTCACCTTTAATACCAGATAAAGTAATAAGGTTGTCTTTTTTGGAAAACCATGAAACACCGATCCATGGATAAAGACAAAATCAGATATATTTTTTCTATGGTATATATTATTTGCTTAATCTGTAAATTCAATCAAATAACATATATAGGCTTTTTAAGTTATGAATCCCAACAAAAAATTCTTTTGGTAGTTAATAAATATAATTTAAGAAGATTTCTCATGCATCTTTTAATCAAACTTACAACACACATTATGTTTGTCCTAGTTCCATTACCATTTATATGTTATCAACTTTCATTCAACTAGTCACCTGGTCTATAGCATTGACAGCACTAAGAAAGAGACAATGAGAATCAAGATATTACATTTTTCATGTTATATGTTAACAGATGGATCTCAAATTGTGTTCGGCTTGTAAAATAAATATTGGGGGTCCAAATTCGTAACTGCCCATTCATCACAATTTCATACTGCATTTCATAATTTGGTTGTAAAATAAATGATGGGGTCCAAATGCTTGCTTATTCTATGTAGAATTAAATGTTTTCATTTTGGTTGTTGAATTATTGTTACAAAATATCATAATAACCTTTAGGCTTAATACTCTCCAGTTTCGCTCGAAAATGTTAAATTAGTTCATCCTTTAAAAAGTATGTCAATTACGTCCTCACTTAATAAAATTTGCATCAATGAAATCCCTTCCGTTAAATCCGTACAAACGGCGTTAACTATTTTATTAAGTAGGAGAGAAAAATAGTTAATATCGTTTGTACGGATTTAACGGAAGGGATTTCATTGATACAAAATTTATTAAGTAAGGACGTAATTGACGCACTTTCTAAAGGATGGACTAATTTGACATTTTCGAGCAAAACTGAGAACAAAATAGGATATTAAGCCTAACCTTTATTTGTTTAAATTGTAGTTCTTGAAAAAAATTCCACAACCATATAGTTTGACAAGTACAAATTATAATTACAAAAAACATAGCTTTAGAACTATATAAAGTAACAACAGAATGCTTTTGAAAAGACATATCTTCCAAGAATAAAAGACAAAATCAAGTGTGATCACTTGCATAATTATTGTTCTGTTCAAAGTTATGATGACTTTAAGCCAAAGAGTTTAACTAGTATGATTGAGGAACAACTATCGTACCAGAAAACTAATTTTTATCAATTTTTCCTATTTAAGTTATTTTAGTAACAACAAAATTATCTTTTCTAATATATCCAAGATTCTGGGGAATTTGTTTAATTTATCGCAATGGATCCCATACCGATTTTATGATAGTAGGATTGTAATAATTAGTTTTATTCTAAACTAACGCTTAGGTTTTATAATAGGCCTAATGTATTAAGTCTTACTTCATCCAAACTCTAATTGAAGGGTTTCTAACGTTTGTAAATGGTTGGAACTGGATAATTTTCTATATAGTTCCAAATTGTCCGGATCGATATCTGTAGGTGCTCCTAAATCATGATGCTACAATTATTCTCGCTAAATTCAATTCAATCATATTTTTTTCCTTTTTTAATAATATACTTCAAAGTTATGAGCTATTTACAAATAGTGAAATTTTCTTTCGGTAATCAATAAATGTGACTTAAAAGGAATTTTCATGTTCCTACTAATTAAACTCAGAATACATTATGTCTATTACAAGAAGATACATTAGGCAGTTAACCATATATATGAAATATATTTAAAATATATTTGAAAATTTTAAAAAATATGTGAAAATCCATGAATATCAATTATTTGCTGAAAAATTCATTGGTGAATATCCACGGAAACAAATATTTTTAACATTCCTAATTATAAGTATGTATGCAATTCTGTCAAGTATTAATTTTCTTTTGAACCATTTAAACTTGCATGATTAAACATAAATACAAACATTTAACATTTTCTACAAATAATTTATCTAAGAGAGATGACTTTGGTGACTTATTGATTCAATTAACTCATTAAAAATTTTAAACTACCAAAATTTTAATGTTCATATTACCAAATCCAAAGAAAAATAACAACCAAATAAAATACTAAAAAAATTCCAAATGAAATATAATTTACATTACATAGTATGTAATAAGTTTCATCATAAATTTGAAAACCAGCAATTTTAGACAACGTGCATATTCATTAATATGTAAAAATTTCTAAATTTTTTAAATCATACATGAATGCAGGAGTTGCTCTAATACTAACTCAAGAAATGTTTTGACATATTGTTGTTGTTCCTTACGTATTCTTGTAAGTTTGAAAGAGTTACTTTTGCTACATAATGTGGTACTCATAGTTGTTAAGATAAAAAGGTTGTCATTGGGGTAATCATGATTGGAACATTTTCTCTTTGAGAGAAAGTACCAATATGAGAGTGACTCATTTTTTAGGAAGAAATTATTGATAATTCAAGTATAAATTTCATACTTAAATTAAATACAAATAAAAAACTTATAAGGAAGAAGACTAATAATCCAAATAATTAATTATATATAATATCTAGAAACTAAAAATATATATAATTATATTTTATTCTAATAAATAATAACTTATGGCATAATTATGTTATTATTGAGCCTAATGAGCTATGTAAGAGTTCTAACCTAGTTTTCCAATATTAATGAATGATTTTCAACCACGTGACTTGCCATCAACGAAGCTATAAAGTCTTAGCAATTGTAACACACTGACAAAAATCCTCTTGTTTCATTAATGATTTAAATAACATAGGCTAAGATATTAAATATTGAGAAGCTCAATGAAAATTTCTTACACACCATAAAATATGTTTATGTGTAGATCTAGATTATAATAAACTTATCATAATTCATTATTCCTTGGTTTTTTAGGAGACAATTAATATTTTGCTTATTGAATATCTTTTATGTATAGATTCATGTGTGATTTTTTTTTATGTTGGCGTTTTAATAGAATTGGATTATTTTTGGGTTGCAAATTGCATTATTTACTTTATGTTTTTTTTTCTTAAATTGAAAAATTATTTAAATATTTTATTTTTACATGTTTTTTGTTTTACAATTTATGGTAACTGTATATGTACAGATGCAAGAACAATACCTAAACTATATTGAAATTTTTCTTTGTGATTTTATTTTTGTAAAAGATTACACTTATATACCTGTACTTTGTATATGTTTAAGTTTATATTTTGTTGAGTTATATGTTGTAAAGATATATATAATCGAATGACTTTCAACCACATGACTTGCCATAAAAGAAATTCAAAGTCTTAGGATCCATTTTCATCTAATGTCACACTCCCAATCTAACAAAATACATCAATGCACCATCCTATTCAAACAACCCAAAAGCCACGTTCGAGACAAACATAAGAAGCCCCCACAATCTGAATTCCAGAAATAACGTTGGTAGAAGAAAATAAAAACTCAACTGGTGAGTGATTTAATGAGTTAATGTTTAGAAATTTAGAAACGTGGTAGAGATAAAAGGAAATTCTTGGAAATCTTGAAAATTTGGCATTCCTGTCCAAAAAATCGAGTCACATCACATCCATGTATATAAACTAGAATAAAAATTGACTATACTTTTAGATTTAAAAAAAAATCTAAACCTTAATGTTTCCATAAAAAAATGTATTAAAATTATTATTATTACAATGTTGTACAACCATTTTTTTCCTTTTTGTTGGTTACTCTCTTATTATGCAATCTACAATGAAGTGATGAAGTGACTCATAAATACGGTTAACCATTGTTAATTAACAAAAAAATTCACTTAAAAATTATTATTGGACTAAATAACGGGACATCATCTGTATAAGTATTGTCCTAATTAAGAAAAAATTATACCGATCAATTAACGGAGTGTATGTTTTAGGTAATAATACAGAATAAATGGTAAACCTTACAAATTTAGGTTAAACATTTGATTTAACAACTTTAACAAGAAAATGACTGTTTAGGTTAAGTGCTTAAATTTATTTGACGGTGTAAGACTTATAAAATTAAGATACACAACATTTAGGTATTAACAAAAGGCAATTCTTTCTGGCCAATTCAGCATCTTGGGATGTCGGTGTGAATTTGAAATGGATTAAAACTAGTGAAACAATAAAACAAAAACATATTTTTCAACACAGAAAACCGACGTAAAAGTATTTTCTTTCATTGAAACAAAACGTTAAATACATTAAACATATTTTTTGTTCAACACGCTTGTTAGTTGGCATCATTTAATGATGTTTTCTTATATTTTATTTTATTTTTAGCCTTTTTCAACATAATTTGAACAGGATAAAAATTGGTGGAATCAACATCTAACACGGGGAAGGGGTAAAAAGGTAATATAACGATGACATAACATGATAAAAAGAACAACAAAAATAAATAACAACAATCAATAGTGTATGATAAATAAAAATATTCATATAATTACTATTCGTGATGTACATAAGCTGATCAATTTTCCATTGAAAGAAAAAGTCTTGAAAATATGACACATTAGCAACTATAGTCAAAGCTATTTCCCCTTCTCGCAAGTAAAAAATATGTTCCCACTAAAAACATAAATAATTCAACAAAAAAATCATACATGTAAAAAGGCTTGTAAAATTTCTCCCCTTCCAACCAGAAAGAAAAACTAGGAAAAAAACCTTTTGTATCATGTGACTGATCCAAAACCCCAGTCAATAGACCACACAACTACTCATCTGAGTTTCTAGTGGGTTTTCTGTATACAAATTTATTTATACCCTCACAACTCTCTGCCGAGAATGCTGATGAGAAATGTTATGAGAATTGCGGGTTTTGGATTCCTTGGTTTTTT